GCAGGACGTATAGCCTTAGCTTCCCTGGACACGATTTTGAGGAGTCCCAAGCTCAGCTTAACAGGCGACTCTCGTAGGGGAGTGTGGGCGCAGCCTTCCCAGAACACAGATGTGATATTCTGGGTTCCTCCAGGCACAGGCAGGAGCGTTAGCAGCCCTCAAGGCAACATGGGGCATCTGCGCCTCATGCTCTTGCAAGCCTGTCGGTTCCCCCTTTGGCCGCCCTGGGCCTCCAGACCCTTCTTCCCGCGCTGCAAGAGCCCACGCTGGCGACCTTGTGGCGCGCTCGGGAGTGGGGGGTCCCCGGACCACCGACGGAGCGGCTCGGCCAGAGGGGCCAGGAGTTCCCAGAAGGCGCAGGTCTCTGCACGCAAGGGCGCAGCCTGCACGTCCCACCCTGTCTCTGGTTGACGTCAGCGGCCCCCTAGAACTGTCGGCTGGCTGCCGGGCTCCGGAACTCCGCCCCTGACTGGTTTCCTCGCAGTCAAGTCCGGGCTCCACCCTGCGGACTGCTAGGCCAGGTCTGCAGTCTCCCCGCCTCAGGCCAGTGGGTCTCGCCAGAGTCCAAGAGCTCTGGAAACCGGTCTGGACACTTCCTCCTTCAGACTAGCAACGACCTGTGATCCCGAACTGCTGAGGCTGACCTCGATGCCATCTGTTCATTGAACGGGGAACGGGGACTATGGCTACTCCCTTGCTTTCTCTAAGTTTCCTCATCTGAAGGGGGAAAAAGAAAAAGGAAAAAGGACATCAATGTCCTGGGAGAGATAGGAGCAAGCGGTGGTGGCGCACGCCTTTAACCCCAGCACTCGGGAGGCGGAGAGGCAGGTGGATCTCTGTGAGTGTGAGGCCAGTCTACAGAGCGAGTTCCAGGACAGCCAGGGCTGTTACAAAGAGAAACTCGGTCTCCAAACAAACAAACAAACCCCACCATAACAAAAATACCAAACCAAGTATGGTGGCCCAAGCCTTTAACCTCAGTAGTCAGAAGGCAGTTCATACTGATCTCTGTGACATCATAGCTTGAGACCCTGTTTGAAAAAACAAAACACAAAAATGAACACAAAAACAACCCAAGAAAAACATTAAAAGGACAAATCTCAGAGGAAGTTACGTATGGATAGTTAATTCACCAAAAGCAACTTTGCACTCTGAGATGAACAGCTAGATCATTTTTAAAAAATATTTTTTTAATTATCTGTAAGTGTGTGTGTGTGTGTGTGTGTGTGTGTGTGTGTGTGTGTGTGTTCCTGAGTGCAGAGGCCAGAGGCATCAAGTCCTCTGTAACAGGAGTTAAAAGATGGTTGTGAGCTGCCTTACAGGGAGGTGGGTGCTAGGAACTTACAGGGTGCTGGGTCCTCTGGAAGAGCAGCATAAGCTCTTAACTGCTGAACCACCTCTCTAGTAATGATCATTAGTAATGATTGTGTTTAATTTGTTCTTAATCACTTCCTGAGCATTTGCAATTTATGTAACCAGGTGAAACGGATCACAGCACAGCACGGCACAGGGGCTGGGGTGTCGCTCTGTTGGTAGAGTGTCTACCTAGAATCATTCCCAGGGAAGGGGCCCTGTGAGGCTGCAAGACCAGAAGTTCAAGGTCATTCATTCTTGGCACTGAAACTGTGTACAGTTTCAGGCCCGTGCTCTGTAAAATTCTGTTTTAAAAAAGGAAAAGGGTCTAGCTAGGTATGTGGCTGTCTCTAAAGAGGCTTTCTTGCTTAGAAAGACAGCAGTTCATTGCCGGCAGTTGTGGCACAGCCTTTAATTCCAGCACTTAGGAGACAGTGGCAGGTGATTTCTGTGAGTTCAAGGCCAACCTGGTCTACAGATCAAGTTCCAGGACAGCCAGGGCGACACAGACAAACCTGTCCCAGAAAAACAAAACAAAACCCCCAAAATAGGCCTTCCATCCCCATGCAGTGGAAGGAGAGAACATCCCATAAGCTGTCCTTGCACTGCCACACCCCACATAATTAATTCATATGTATATTTATGTGGGAGGGCATGTGGAGATGAGAGGACATCTTGGAGGAGTTGATTCTCTCCTCCACTCTGGGTCCTGGGGTGGGACTAACGTACTCAGGCTTGCTGGCAGTCCATTTACCTCATGAGCCGCCTCCTAGTCCTATAAAACAAACAAACAAAAACTAAAAATTAAAAACCGGGACCAGGCGCAGGCCTTTAATCCCAGCGCTTGGGAGGCAGAGGCAGGCAGATCTCTTGAGTTCAAGTCCAGCTTGGTCAGTATGAGCAAGTTCCAGGACAGCCAGGCTACACAGAGAATCCTTGTGTGGACCCCTGCCTCCCCCCCACCCCGAAAAAAACCCTTAAAAGTAGGAGCTGGAGAGAGAGATGGCTCAACAGTTAGGACCACTGGCTGCTCTTACAGAGGCCCAGAGTTGGATTCCCAGAACTAACAACCATCTATAACTTCAGTTTCAGGGGATCTGATGCCCTCTGCTGGCCTCTGAGGACACCAGGTACCCATGTGATGGTGTATGTACAGGTGTGCAGGCAATAAACCCATACACAGAAAATAAATCTTAAAAATTCTTTCAGAGTTCATAAATGTAAACCTTTAAAAGAGAGTTAGAAGCAGACATTCCTACGGACATTTTTGCACAGGAGTCACAGGTGCAGATGACCTAAATCCCCACCGCAGGTGGGTGGTGAAGGATGGGACCTTACACACAGGAATGCTATGAAGCCACAGAGGAGGAAAGTGGTTCTTTTCTGTGCTGCAGCACTGATGAACCCAGGAGACATGATGTGACCACCAGAGGACCTGAGTTCTATTCCCGGATGGAGTACTCTAATCACAACACCCAGAAAGTGGAAGCAGGAGTTCCAAGACAGCCTGGGGCACAAGAGACAGTGTCCCTCTCCTTTTAAATTCATTTATTATTATTTTATGTGCATTGGCGTTATTGCCTGTAGGTATGTCCGTGTGAGGGAGGCAGATGATACTGGGAATTGAACCCGGTCCTCTGGAAGAGCAGCCAGTGCTCTTAACCTCTAAGCCACCTCTCCAGCCTGAGACAGTGTCTCTTAAATTAACACAATATGCGCATACACCTCTACAGTAACTACCAAGGCCCTGGGTACTGAGCAGAAGGGCTTATCCCAGACCTTGTGTAGTCTCATATACTTGGTGGGTTTTTTTTTTGGGGGGGGGGGCTGGGGATGGAACCTTTAGCACCTCCCTCAGCAGCAAGGCTGGCTTCAGATTCAGGGGTGTTTATGATCAGAGTGACTTTCTCAGAACCCTTTGTAAGCTGGCTGTTTTTCTCAAACTAAGGATACCCATCTAGCATTTCCTCAGTTTATCACCCGGCTTTGAGTGTCTTAGAAAAGGTCTCATGGAATCTAGGTTGGCTCCAAACTGAAGGTAAGAAGGACCTTGAACTTCTGTGGCCACCACACACACCCTGTTTAACACAGTTATTATGAGGCAGTCTCTCTGTGTAGCCCAGGCTAGACTTGAACTCACTAATCCTCCTGCTTCATGTTCTTAAGTGTTGGGAGTACAGGCTGAGATTGTGACAATTCTTCACGTCGTTCGTCCCACTAAAGAGAATGTTTGCACGTGTGGGGAACTGGGTTTCAGTCCCCACCCCACAGAGGCTGCAGCACCGGAAGCCGGGTCCGAGTGGGGGTCGGGCAAGCCACTTCCCGGGGAAGGAAGGGCCCTGCGGTTCCTGGGACAGGATGTGCACCGAGGCCCCCTCCCTAGCCACCAGGGACTTCTCAGGCCCGGCCATGTTCCTGTGTGCCCAAGATCTGCCCCCTCCCTCACCGAGACCTCAAGGGTCCAGGCTCAGTGGGCAGGGCTAGGGATCCTTCAGGATTTTACTGGGAGAGGGGCTGGTCTGGGTCTCCAGGGAGCGCTTTTACCCTAGCTTCCAGGACGGAGGAGAAGCTGGGGGGCTGGGGGACTCCGCAGTCAGCTCGCCACCCCACAGCAACCCCCCTCCTCCCGCCCTCCGCCCCGGGGTCAAGAGGGGCCCGAGGGGGTGGGGCAGGCAGGGCCCGCGTTTCCTCGAGCCTCCCGCACCTGCGGTCTCTTTGTCCTTAGAGCCGAGGCCCCCACCCCCCTAGGCTACGCCTAAGGCCGGTCGGAAACCAAAGCGAGAGGAATCCGTTTACTACGGTGGTTGGGTAACCTGCAGCTGGATGGGATGGACTCGGGACTAACTACGGAAACTAGGCTGGCTTTAACTCAGGGATCCGTCTGCCTCTGCCTTCCTTTTGCTTGGATTAAAGGTGCGCATCACCCTGTCTGGCTTTAAAACAAACACAAAATTTTAGGGACTGGTCTACACACTAACTTCCGGTTGGATTAAACGTGAGTATTGTTAAAGCCTAAACGTGCCGGGGAAGCAGTTTATGGGCCCATTTCTTTTCTTTCTTCCCTTTTTTTTTTTTTTTTAACGAGACAGGGTTTCCCTGTAACAGCCTTTGGCTGTCCTGGAACTCGGTTTGTAGACCAGACTGGCCTCGAACTTAAGAGATCCGTCTGCCTTGGCTTCTCATGTGCCACAATGCCCGGCCTAGGCCCGTTTCATAGTTAACTTCTAAGTTAGCACCTGAGCAACAAAGCTGCACTAAAGCAATCAGATAAGGACGTGTTCAAAGTTCACCGCCACTCCACGCGTGGGGGCCCTAGACAGCAGTTCTACTCCAGGGGAGGACACGAGAAAAACGCCATCCTTTAAAACCCCCCAGCTCCTCTCGGAAGACTGCACCCGATGTCCCTGAAATGTAAGCTTTCCACACTCGCTGGCCCCCAGAGCGTAATTAATTTCTAGGGAATCCCCAAATCACAGGGTTATTAGCTTAAGCAACAGCCTGTAAATTTAAAGCAAAGAGATGGGGACCCGGCCTCCCTCCCTCTCGGCACCCGGTCAAACCAGTTCCAGAGGCTCGGGGAGCGGCCGACAGTCCTGACCCTTTAACCTCGCCCTCCCCCTCCAGGGAAGCAAGCCAAGACAGCAGCGCTCTTTACTCCGACGTCTTTATTTTCCTAGCTGACATTGTAAAACGCCAAGTAGACGGGTGCTCAATACAGCCCACCCTGGCAAAGGTAAACAGACTTCTTAACGTGCTGGCAAAAAGTTCCTTTCCTGCCCGAAGAGGCCGGGTCCACGACAGCAACCGCGACCAGCCTTGCCGCGGTGGTCCACGCCAGGCGAGCGGGCGGTCTAGGCTGACAGTCGGAGCGTCTCCAGACCTCCGCTGCTTACAAGAAGATTTGATCGGTCCAGTCCAGGCTCTCGGCCGCCGAAGGCCGGCTCACCCATAGCAGCCGGTGGGGGCGAGGTGACTCAAGTCACTTCCCCGTCCCCAGGGCGGGTCCACACCCTGGCCTCCTCCCAGGCCCCACACCCACGCAGGGCAACAGGAAGCACCCGCGTCTGCCCCATGACGCAACTATGACCGCTTGCACAAGCGTGCCACTTGTAGGGGCCAAAACGCGTATGCCAGTGAAACGGCCTTGAAAGGGCCGCCAGGCCAAGAGTCCGACCCTGAGATTCAAGATCCAGGTGTCCCTTCTCCCGGCCGGGGAGGGGACAGTCCTTTAACAGCACCTGTGGACGCACGTCTGGGAAAAGGCGCCCGCGCCCCCAGCTCCTCAGTCCTCCCCCGGGCCTCCGGCAGCTCAGGCCGCGGCTCTTCATCACGGGCCCCGCAGGCTTTCCGCAGCCGGCCCTGGCCTCGGCTGTGCGTTTTCGGCTCCGGCGACGCCGCTCAGAATGCTCAGAAGGCCACCACGGCTCGCACCAGCACGCTGAGCATGTTGTCGGCCGGGCGGCAGGCTGGCTTGGCCTCGCACGCGGGGGGCGCCGGCGGGGGCACGGCGGGCCCACAGTTCAGGAGACTGGAGAAGCGCTTTTGGAGGACGCGGGCGAGATTAGGGAAGGCGCCTTCGGCTTGTGCGGGGGGAAGCTGCAGGCGATCGGCGACCTCCGACGTGTCCTCCCTCTCCGCCTCCTCTAGACGGGCCTTCTTGCTGGGTGCTAGTCCGACCTCACCGCCGTCGCTCAGGTTGCTGCTGCTCCGGCGCTTGCGGCTGACTCTGGCGGGGGGCGGGTCACAGGGCGCAGGGGTCTCCTGGACGCGCCGCGCTTCCTCCTGCGTGTCCATGGGCTCCGGGGACTGCTCCGCGTCGGGGGCCGCCGCTCTCACGGCAGCTTCGGCTTCCCGCGGCGGGTGCAGGCGAGGGTCAAGCGTCCGGCCGGATGGCGGGAACTCGGGCTGGTGGGCCTCTACCTTGGCTGAGAGGTAGAGCTCCCGAGCGCTGCGCATGACGAGGGAGAGCTGTAGGCTCCGGTGGAGCCGCAAGCCACCCCGCTGCATGCGAGAGTGGTACATCTTCCACACCGACAGGGTCATGATGCGCTGCGCTTCTTTCTGCACGTCCATGCTTGCTCGACGAGAGCGTAGAGGAGAGCCGGGAACGGATTGACGCGGGCGGTGCTGCCCAGACAGCTAACTCACCCCGGCAGGTACGCGGCTAGGAGTTCCGGCGGGGGAAGCGTGCCGGAGCCCTTCTAATATAGTCAGCATGACGTCACGGGGACGCCACGCCCAATCAGAGGGCCTCATCCGGGCTTTCCACTCTGGCCAGAGACTCCTTAAAGCAATAGAGGTCAATTTACGCCTCGAAGGAGAAGGGACGTGAGCCCCGGCAAGGAAGAGTCTCCCCCACTGCGCCCCGAGGCCTCAGCTTGGTCTGGGTTCTCAGACCCACTGGCGGGCTAGCCGATGAGGCCCACCCACTAGCCAACGGGTGGCGGGGTGGTGACCTTCCCTTTGCAGAGAGGAAGACCCGGAGCGGGGCGCATTCCCCGAGGGCACTGTTCCCCGCGCCTACCAGCCAGCTAGTTAATTTCTCTGCCCAGTAAAAACGCTGCTGCTTATTAAGCAGTTCCTTCACGCCGGGGCTGTCGAGCTTTCTCTTGATTCAGTGTCTGACTCCTCACTCCACTCCGCAGAAAGTACGGTCAGGTCTGTTTCTTCCAGGTGAGAAGCCTGAGGCAATCACCTGATCGATATTTACTAAACAAACGAAGCCTCCAGCCTTCCTTCTCTGTCCTCCCGAACACGGGTGGGAAGTGGGAACGGACGACGCGGGCTGACCCTGGAGGGGGCTACGCCACAGCCGCCTATATCCACGGCGCGACTGCCGTCCCCACGCTCGGCATTCAGCATCTCCCGGTTTGCTGCCACCCACCCAGTACCAGAGAAGTCCCAACGAACACAGGGCCTGCCGCCCTCTCCCGCCGACAGCACAGAGTTCTGCCTTCGCACCCCGGGAAGCTGAGTTATCCCCAGCCAATGAGAGGGCTCAATGGGTAGAGCCACTGGCTGCCAAGCCTGAAGACCTGAGTTCGATTCCCACGCGCGCCACTCGCGCGAACACACACACACACACACACACACACACACACACACACACACACCACATAGAGAGATTCACAAAAAAAGATGTCGGTTCCACCCTGCTCTTTTCGCAAACAAACAAACAAACAAACACCTGATTCTAGTTGCAAAAGGATAAAGTTCTAACACCGCCTTCATTTACGGTGCTGGCCCTTTAAGGAACACCCCCCCCAACCAGCGCGTAGGCTTCCCGCCACTGCAGCGGGCCGACTTCCCTGTCTAAATTTGGATGTGATGACGTAGCGTGGCGCCGCGAGCACTTCCGGAAGCCCATATAAGGACAAGGACCCAGTGTCTTAGCCGGAGCTATGGGCTTCCGGGGCGGAGCCTCCACCGTAGGCCACACCCCCATTTCTGGCGCTTCCAGCCCCCGCGCTGTGCCGGGTGGTTCCGGCCGCGGTCCGGGCGGCCTGCTGAGTCCCGGCGTCCCTCCACTGGACCAGTGGTTACGGCTGCCTTCTCTGATGCTGGTCCACGCTGCGGCACCGTCACGAGGAATGAGTCCGGGTGGAGTGAACTTGTGGGTTTACGGAAAAACGGCTTCGAAACCCTCCTGCACTCAGAGGTGTAGAAGGCAAATGTCTGGGTCTGTTCCACCTCCCAGGGGAGGCTACCCGAATCCTTAGGGTTGGTGGCACGTGTAATTCACCCGCGGAACCATCTCAATGGCCTTTTATTAATTTTTGGTATTTTGAAATAGGGTCTTACTTGTATAGCTCCAGCTGTCCTGGACTCCTAGAGATCCGACCGCTTCTGTCTCCCGAGCGTTTTGTTTTGTTTTTTTAAATATATGCTTGCATGCCTGGGCACCACGAGTTTGTAGTGGCAGCGGAGGCCGGAAGAGGGCGTCAGATCTCTGGACACTGGAGCCGTCCTGTAGGTGCTGGGAACCGAACTTGTGCTCTTTCTTTCCCTTTTTGCCAGGGAAGTTTGAGACAGGGTCACTATGTAGCTCTAGCTGTCCTGGAACTCAATACATAGACCTGGCCTCCAACTCACAGAGATCCACCCGCCTCTGCCTCCCAAGTGCTGCGATTAAAGTCGTGCGCCACCACGCCCGGCTACAGTAAGTGCTCTTAACTGCTGAGCTAAATTTAATGCATCGATAGAATGAGCTCCTTACCCCGCCGTGATCTCCTAAGATTTATGGAAAACTAGGATTATTGATATTGGCTAAAAAGGAAACTGAGGTTCCACAGCAGCAGTCTGAGGTTCGACCCAATTGTGTAGGACATTGGCCGTGTAGGATGAGGCTGGTGCACTGCACGCCCACAACCAAGATGGCCGAGGTGCAGGCGGAAGTCCACACGTTTTGGCCCTCTAGGGCCGCTCTTTCTCTCTTGGCGGCTGGGCTCTCGATGGTGGCCTCCCAGGCTGGGTGGCAGCGTCTTTCGCTCACTAGCAGTGAAGGAGTTCCTGCACCCGCCTAGTGGGAGGGGGGGCTTGATATGTTTTTCCAGGACCCTCTCTTTGTAGTCCGAGGGTGAGTGACAGTGGCTGGAAAGGGGTGGAAGGGAGCAGTCACCTGGCTAGCCAGTGCCGTGGTGCAGGCCACTGTGTGCCAGGCAGTTCGGGTATAGCCGTCCCGGTGCACGTGTCTACCTGTGGTGGAGTGGAAGAAAATTTGGAGGGCTGTTGGGGTGTCTGGGCCTCGGTTGGTTTGGGAGCGAGTGTAAGGACCCTATCCCAAGTCGTGCTCAATGTACTGCAGCGAGGTGCAGAAAGCGGTGAATACGGCCCCTGGCTGTACCGGTCCCTGGCTGTACCGGCCCCTGGCTGTACCGGCCCCTGGCTGTACCGGCCCCTGGCTGTACCGGCCCCTGGCTGTACCGGCCCCTGGCTGTACCGGCGCTGGCGTGAGCTCCTGCAGGGAAGGGCTGTAGTTGGGCGGGAAGAGTCGATAGGAAGGACCGCCAGTGAGCGGCGGAATGCCTGCAAAGCATTGGGTGGGACCTCGGGGAACCTGGAAGAAATGGTCCATATGCTGGGACTTTAGAGACAGGGTATGGCGGAGCTTCTGGCCACAGTAGGGGGCGGTGGGAGCCAGCCCTTTAAGGAAGTTGAACAGCTAGTAAGCGTTAAAGCCTGGAGGTATGGGAGTATGCCGGAGGGAGTTTATGTCTCTAGACTTGACCCTTGACCTGCAGGAAAGGTGTTCGTTCACAGAGCAGATCAGGAAGCAGTTCAGGTTAGGTGAAGTCCTAGTGGGTTGTGTTGGGAGATTAGTGTGTGTGTTGTTTGTTCAAGGCAGGGTTTCACTGTAACTTGGCAGGATGGAACAAGAGATCCATCTGCCTCTGCTTCATGAATGCTGGTATTAAATCGTGCAACACCACATTTAGCTTGTGTTAGGGTGTCTAGACTAATGTTATCTTCATCCTCAGGAAATGAAGGACCACTTAGCCCAACAGCCCTGGCCTTCATAGAGAAGAGTCATAAAGAGGTAATGGATTCATCCAGTTCAAGAACCACCAGGTGTTACTTTCTGTCAGCCCCACCATGTGTTCTGTCTTCTGTATGTAGGAACCTGTCCTTCTGCATCAGTGTCCAGTCTGTGCATTCTTTCCTTATCTACCTGCCTTTTTTGTTTGTTTTTTTTTTTTGAGACGGGGTTTCTCTGTGTTGTTTTGGTGCCTGTCCTGGATCTCACCCTGTAGACCACGCTGGCCTCAAACTCACAGAGATCTGCCTGGCTCTGCCTCTTGATCAAAGGTGTGCACCATCACTGCCCAGCTATCTACCTGCCTCTTTATAAATGTCTACACCTAAGCTCTCAGTAATAAAAATGTTTGGAAGTAAATGATGTGTCTGTACTTAGCTGGCACAACCTGCTGTCTTCAGTGCTCTTCAAACACACGAGGGTTGTCTAGAGATAAGGAGAGTATATGGTGAGCTGGGTATGGTGGTTTATGCCTCGAATTCCAGTATCTAGGAGGCTGAGGCAGGAGGATTGCATTGAGTTCAAGGCTATTGTGTTCTACATATCAAGTTCCAGGCCAGCCAGGGCTACATAGAGAAACCCCATCTCAAACAAAATAAATTCATTGTAAGCTTGGAAAGTTGGCTTATGCCTATAATCCAGACGCTCAGGAGGCTGATGTAGGAAACTCAGCAGTTCTAGGCCTGGATAAGAGATCTCAATTTTTTACATTTACTTATTTACATATTTTTTGTGAGTATGCATGTGTGGAAGACAGAGTTGATTTTCTCTTTCCACCTCGGTCTTCAGGCTTGGCGTCAAGTGTTCTTACTCTCAGAGCCAGCTTCACAGCCCCAGACCTAATCTTTTGTTTTTTGAAATTGTTTTTTTAAAAAATTAACTTATGTGTATATGTGTCTCTCTCTTGTGTATGTATACATACATGTGGGTTTCCATGGAGGTTATAAGGCATCTGATCCCCTGGAGTTGGAGTTATCTGAGCTTGTAAACTGCCTGACATGGGAGCTGGGAACAGAACTCAGGTCCTCTGTAAAAGCAGTCCTCTTAATCAATGAGCCATTTTCCCAGCCCCTGAGGTTTCATTTTTTTTTCATTTACTCTTTTTTTTTTTCTTTTAATTGTTTTACTCTGTAGGTCAAACTGTGTAGTCCTGGCTGGCCTCAAACTCAAGAGATCTGCTTGCTTAGACATTCCTGACCACTGGGATTAAAGACATCCAACCAGAAAGCCCCCTTTTCACTGTGTGCGTGCGTCTACCAGCACCGTGCTACATTTTTCTCCTTAGTCCTTTTAAACATGTCTGGGTTGGGGCAAGAGCCAGGCCGGTGGCACAGGCCTTTCTCTAAGTTCAGGGCCAGCCGGGTCTATAGATCAGGTTCGAAGACAGAGAGGGCCATACAGAGAAACCCTGTCTCAAAAAAAACAAGCTGGGTGGTGGTGGAACACACCTTTAATCACAGTACTCAAGAGGCAGAGGCAGGCAGATCTCTTGAGTTCAAGACCAGCCTGGTCTATAGAGAGTTCCAGGACAGCCAGGGCTACACAGAGAAACCCTGTCTTGAAGGCAGAAAGGAGAAAAATAAACCCAAAAAACCTTCCATATCTTGCCCTCCCAACTCACTGTCCTGTGAAGTTGTTCCATCAAATACCCTCCACCCCACCCTCCAGCAGCCCTGCTGACTAAATGAACAAAACAACTCAGTAAGGTCTGTAGAGATGGTAACAACCTAGCCTAAAGACAGCTTAGCCATCTGACCTCCTAACCTGAGAAGCAAAGGGGCCCTGGAATATTGGGGTGGGGGTGGGGTAGTTCCAGCCTATCAGGGGGCCAGGAAAGTCTAAAAAGACCTCCTGCAGCAAATCTGGGTCCAAGGCTCCAGGAATTAAGTCTTGATCCAGGCTGTGAATCACTATGTAACCCCGACTGGCCTTGAACTCACAGCAATCCTCTTGGCCTCACCATGCCTGGTTCAGCTGGTAGAGTGCTTAGTGTGTTTTAAGCTATAGGCTATACCTCTAGCACTTCATAAATAGGGTGTGGTGGCCCACTCTTGCAATCCTAGCACTCACAGGGAAGAGGCAGGAGGATCAGAAGTTCAAGGTCATCTTCAGCTACTTAAGAGTTTGGGGACACATGAGATACTGCCTTAAAAAATCTCAAAACCTAAATAAAGTGTGGGTGTGTACACAGGGACACACACAGAAAATTAAAAACTAAAACGTAGGCTAGGTGGCAGACACCTGTAATCCCAGGTACTTGGAGACTAAGGTAAAGCAGAAAGATTTAAGTTGAAGGCCTGCCTTAGACTACAGTGAAAACAACTCACAAAGGGTGGCAGGTGCCTCAGTGCCGAGTGAAGTGCCTGGCATGAGTGTACATATACGTAGACACACAGGAAGTAAATGTCACAGAGTAGCCAAGGTGTATCAGCATTTCCTGTTGTCGAGTCCTATTCTAGGCATTTTTTTTCTCCCCAGGACAGGGTTTCTCTGTAGTTCTGAGATCCACCAGCCTCTGCCTCACTCCGCAGTGATCAGAAGCCTGTGCCACCACTGCCAGGGTTTAGCTATTGTTTATACATTAATTTAATAATCCTATTTCAATTTTGAGCGCTCTCTTAAGTTGGGTGGCACTTGCTTTTGGGAAGCAGAGGCAGAGATCTCTGAGTTTCAGGCCAGCCAGAGCCACACAGTGAGACCCTGTCTCAGGACAAACCAGCAGTAAGGACACTAAGGCATGTCATGTCAAGTGGCATGACTTTAGGGCCCCCCTTGGTTAGTAAATGGCAGGTCTGGGAGGCAGCCCACACAATCTGCTACAAACCTACCCTGGGTCTGCACCCTGCTCTGACTGCCAGCTGCCCAGAAGTCTCAGAGTCCTCTTGATGTCTAGGGCAGCAAGCTACCCAGCAGGTTTGTGGGGGCTGGGGAGGTGTGGCAGGGTGAGGCTGTGGAACCCTCAGGTTTTCTAGCTGCTGCTCTCCAGTCAGCAGCTGACCCTGGACCACTAGGATCAACAGCTGGAAATGGTGTCTGGGAGCATCCAGGTTCTGAAACACATGTCGGGTCATGTTGGGGAGGAGGGCATGTAAGGCCAGTTTTGGGGGGCATGCCTCTGGCTTTCCTGGTGCATAGTGGCTCGGATTCCACCATGGTATTGGTGGCATACTGGATGCTTTTACTCATGAACTAGACCACAGAGTCTCGGATTGGGTCCTCAGAAAGATGGCTAGTGACCCACACAATGAGTGGCGAGTTCTCTTTGGTAGGGTTTAAAGCCTGGGATGTGAGTAGGAGGGAGTAGCTGGTGGTGCCTTGTCCTCTTGATTTCTGACCCTTTTGTCTTCATACAACAATGGTGTGCCATTGTGGTGCTTGTGTGGTTTTCCCGTCCTGATTCTACTCCCCTTTCTCTGACTTGGGACGTCCCTGTCTACTGGAAAGAGGGAGTGAACCTGGAGGGCCAGCCCAAGGACCTCTTTCAGAACTAGTAGGATCTTTAGGCCCTGGGTTGGACCCTGAGCTTCTGACACTGATCCCAATTCAAGTGCATTTATAGGGTGATGATTTGGGAAGACCTTGCACAAACTGCCCCAAATCTACCCTCCTCCGTGCCTTCTAATTGTTCCAATAGAAATCCAGCATTAAATTAAAATATATATATATATATATATATATATTACCGTATAGCGTTGATTCAAGCTTTGGATGATCTCTTTTAGATGGCTTTTCTAAGCTTCCTGCTCCCTCTCAGGGACTCAAGTATCTGTGTATGTGTATGTTGGGAATTCAAGTGCCAACATTTGATACAGAAAAGATTTTGTTCTCTTTTTAAAAAAAGTCTAGTTAGTGTGTAGGCACATGTTCCATGCAACATGTGGAGGTCACATAACTTTGTGAGGTGAGTTCTTTCCTACCTTTACATGGCTCTGGGGATCCAAGACGGGTCACTAGGCTTGTGTAGCAAGTGCCTTTTTCTGATGAGCCATCCCACTTGCCTCAAGCTCTGTTTCCCAAGGGCTGAGTATGGGCTTTCTTTTCCTATACCACAATATAAGCTCCTGGTCTCAGCGAAACATGGGATTGGAAGGCAGGGGCCAAAGGGTCATCAGTCATAGCCAACCTTAAATCACCAACCAAACCAACCCCCTAATCCCAGGTGCTCCTGGTAATCTTCATTATCTTCACAAGAATGTACCTCTACAGACAAACTGCTCCTGGAGTGGGGTAGGCTTGGGCTAGTCTGAAGGCACAGTGAAGGCCAGTGACTTGAGGAGACCTGAGCACCAACCCCGCTTCCTCTTGACAGACTTGAAGGAGCCCAGGCTACCCTCAGACCCCCGATGTAACTGACCCCCGATGCTCCTGCTTCCAGCCCTCTGGGTGTGAGCCACTATGGTTCCCCATGCTTCTTTGTTCTTCTGGCCTCTCTCGGGATCCTGGGACTCAGTGCCTTCTGCATGCTCCTCTGCCACAGAGCTCCTGGCTGTTTTCCAGGTGCACTGCAAGCAGGCAGGTGTGCCCCTGGTGGGTGGCCAGCACATCCCTCTCCAGTGAGCACAGCACAGCAGGGCTGTTACAAAGGCGTCTTCTTTATTCTTATCAGCATCACTGACTCTCAGGGTTCACATTTCCCAACACCGCTCCTCTCCGTACAGTAGTTAATGTGCAATCTCACTTGTGGGCCTGGGAGGGGTGGGGGCTTGGCTCTGGGTGGGGAGGGCATTGGCACTTCACATGGGCCAGTGGGTGATGGCCTGTCCCCATGAGAGGCATGGATGGGTGGGAGGGTGGCCACTGGGTTTGCCCCTAGTTGTCTTTCCTGCTAGGTGGGTTACTTTGTCACTCTCCTGGGTACTTGGGGTGGGGAGCATGCAGCTCTCAGGAGGGCAGGGCAAGCAGCTGACCGCCAGAGGAGGGGCGCAGGGGTGGCTCCTGAGGTAAGGCACAACCCTGTCTTTGGCTCTCCTAGTGAGTAGTTTTCTCCCCTGCACCCCTGGCTTTATACCTCCCCCACCCCAAGCCCCGGGAGTCAGGGCCACCTCCTGAGGTGCTTGGAACCAATGGGCTCTGCTGCCCACTCTACTACAAGACCTCTCAGTCCCATGGAGCTGCCCCCTTACTAATTCTGGGCAGGGAGCACAGCCTGCCCTCACCATGGCCAGGCTCAGCTGCTTGCCAAGTTCCAGGAGATTGTGCTTTGGGATCTTTGCTGGGTGAGGCGGGACAACAGGCCAGGGCAAGGGTGGAGGGAGGGGGTATGACTAAGGTGCTTGTGCTTTAGCTAGGGGTGTCAACTCCCCTCCACTTGGCCACCCAGGGCTAAGGTACTGGGGGCCAAGTCAGACCCAACACCCCACCCTCACCATCAGATGTTAAGAGGGACCCTGGCAGATTAGAGGGTGCTGCTGGCCTGGAGGCAGGTCTCCAGATCTGACTCAAAAGGCTCCATCCCACCTTCTCCAATCCTGCAACCCCCTGCCTCTGAACAGAAGCAGCTAGAATGCAGAGTGGGAAGAGGGAGGGAGGTCAGGGCTAGAACAGAACCAGTGAGATGGTGAAATGACATTAATGGAGGGGGTAACAAAAACCCTGTGCTCACATATTAAACTCAGAAACCCAAGAGCTTGCTCCTGGAGAGTTAGAGTGGAAAGGAACGGCCAGAGAAAGCTCCACAAACCACCAACAATGGATGTGGACCCTGCCCTGCCTCATCCCCCAGGAGTGGGCTCAGCCAACTGGGACCTGTGAACACCCTTTAACTGTAGTCCTGGGGGAGAGGAAGCTGGTTGGATCCACAGGAGCCCTGGGGCACTGGGACAGGGCCCCTGTGGAAACATGCACCCACATTCCACACACACACACACATTCAGTTTTCCCTGCATCCTGCCTTCCACAGCCCAGGGACCCAGGGGACCTCAAGACACATTCCCATTGATTTGAAAAATAAAAGGAAATCTTATACTTCAATATTTCATTCGCTAAAAAAATGTTTCAAAAAGTTATGTACAGGGGGTGGGGGCTGGGAGCCCTGCCCAGGGTCGGATGGGAGAAGGGCAGCAGCCACCCAGCCTGCTCCCTGGTTCCGACCCCGGTCTTGCTGCCTCTTGATCTTCGTGTTTTTAAAAGCAAACACTCTACACAGGCACGCACGCACACACGCACGCACGCACTCACACCCACAAATTCTGCCAGACTGGAAACCTGTCCTGAGACTCTCGCCTGCCCACAGGAGCACTGCTCTCTTAGAACCAGCCTCGTGGGCTGAGGGGGCCCACAGAGGCAGAGCAGGGAGGGATTAAGAGGGGTATGATGGAGGCTGCCACAGAGGGTCAGTTTTAGAATTTCTTTAAGCCTTTCGGGCTTGTTTCCTCAGCTGTAAAGTGGACAGTCCCTCTTGGCCTCACCTACCCCAGCCCCAAGGTGCAGGGACAGACGAGAGGGACAGGAAGGCGCTTTTGGAGACATGGAAGCACTGGGGTTGGTGGTGGGAGGGGTCCTGAGAACCCCTGGGCCCATGGAGTCCCAAGCAGCCACAGTGAGGGGCAGGCTCTTCTGGAGCTCTGCCCATCCCCTAGCCGGGCCTGGTGCTGGGAAATGCCTAAGAGGAAGGGGAACCAGGGCTCCCCATGAGTGTTGAGGAAGGTCACAGATCCCACCTGATGCCTGTCCTCTCCTGACCCAGCCCAGCTTGCTTTGGGGAAAAGGTGTGGGATGACAGGGAGGCAGAGAGGCTGGGAGCATGCAGCACCCCCTGCAGGTTCTGGGGAGGGACAGACAGTAGCTCGTGACTAAGGTGGTAGGGATGTGTGTGACAGGAGGGGCTGTCTGTCTGAAGCTGTATTCTATGCCCATCGGGTTCAGCTCTTCCTCAGGTTTCTGAGAAAGCTGCTGGAGGTGCTACCCTCTGCTGGGTGCAGTGCCTGGCTTCGGTCTGCCAGCTCTTGCACCCTGACAGAGGGCATGGAGTACCCCTCACAGGTCCTGGAGAGGGACAGACAGTAGATTGTGACCGGGTGGTAGGTGGGGGGGTGTGATAGGAAGGGGAGTGTGACATCCTGAAGGGGGGTGTCACACGTATGTTACTGGAGAACCTCAGCTGAAGGGCCGGCCTCGCCATCGTGGCTGGCTGTCTCGAAGCTGTGTTCCATGCTCATCATGTCCGGCTCTATCTTGCCAGTGTCGCTGATGAAGCTGCTGTAGCTATCACCCTCCACCAGGTGCAGCGGCTTGGTCTTGGGCAGCCAGCTTTTACGTACCACTCGGCGGGCATTGGTGCACATGTCAGCTGCAATGGCATTCATCTCGCTCTCCTTGAAGTTGGGGGCGAAGTTCTGGCAGTAGTCTGTGGGGGTAGAGCAGGCAGCTCGGGCCTCGACTCCTCCCATTAAGTCTCCCAGCTTCTATGTCAAGTGGATCCCACTATCCATACAAAACTGCTGCCCACCTGGGCTCCTGCTCATTTAGGGACATGTAGTGCTGTAGGATTCAGAGCCTGGAAGGTTGCCAATGCAAACCTAGGCATTCCCTGACAAGTGGCTGCCACTGCCACAGACTTGCCCGTTGACAGGTCTGGCCACTTCAATCTTCTCTTGACTACCCTTGACAAAGGCACTCAGGTCCCTTCCATACTATGTGCCCAATGTGAAGAAACCCTAATCGCAGCCTCTTTCCCAATGAGCCACAAGAGAACCTCAGAACTACCCCCACCCCTTTTCTAATGTAGCTGTGGCTGACCCTGAACTCTTGAGTGCTTTTTCTTTTTTTTAATTTTATTTTTTAGAGACAGGGTTTCTTTGTGTAGCTCTGGCTATCCTGGAACTCGCTCTGTAGACCAGGCTGGCCTCAAACTCAGAGATCCACCTGCCTCTGCGAGTGCTAGGATTAAAGGTGTGCACCACCACCACCTCTGCCCAGCCAGAACCCTTTTCAAGTTTTAAAATGTATCATTATTTGGATATATGGCAGTCAGAGAACAACTTGTAGAAGGGATGCAGGGGTCTGCTGAACCACCTCGCTGGCCCCAGACACCCCATTCCCTTTTTTTGAGACAGGGTCTCTCTACATAACCCTGGCTGTTCTCAGATTCACAGAGAGTCACCTTCCTCTGTCTCCTGTGTGCATGCCAACATGCCTGGACACAGAAGCCTTTTAAATTGGTTAGGGTGGACAGCCAGTGAGCTCTAGGGATCTTCCTGTCTTGTTTCCCCAGGTCCAGGATTTTAGATACCCAGCTTTTGTTGTGAATACTAGCGAGCTGAACCCAGGTCCTCATGCTTATGAGGCAAGCACTTTATCCACCAAGCCATCTCAAAACTCAACTCCTAGCCTGTATGCTGGCACAGGCTTTTAAATCCCAGCACTTGGGGGTTCAAGGCCTGTCTGATCTAGTTAGTTCCAGGCCAGCCAGGGAACAAGGACTATGTAGAAAGACCCTGTCTCAAAAAAACCAAAACCAACAAATCAACCAAACCCAACTTCAACCATCTGTCATATTAAACATTGAAGGAAAAAACAAAAGTCCTCTGAGCAGTGGTGGCCTTGAATCCCAGCACATGGGAGGCAGTGACAGGCAGATCTGTGAATTCCAGGCCAGCCTGGTCTACAGAGTGAGTTCCAGGACAGTCAGGGCTACAC